CTGCGGGCACACAGCGGGTATCTGTCGCTGCTCCGTCTGCGGGCACACAGCGGGTATCTGTCGCTGCTCCGTCTGCGGGCACACAGCGGGTATCTCGACCCTTAACACCTACGTGCTTCAATGAAGTAGTTTAGAGGTCATTTGAAATAAAATTCCCAACACCCTGTAGCTCTCAAGGACCACTCCTGTTTTTAATCAACCAATTAATTTAATAGACTAATCAAAATTCACCAGGTTTCAAAGTCTTTACAATTTGCTGATATAATGGAAATTTACATGTTTTAACATAGAATGTCAGCAGCATTCTTCTTACTTCCTGACCTTTTTAAATCGCCAGTTATTTCACACTACATACTCACATGCAGTCGGGAATTGCCACCTGTGCAGTTCCAGCTCATCTCAAAGCCAGCCCCTCGTACCCACATGGGGAGAATGCCCTCCCACCCACTGACTGCTTCATCTCTTGACCCATCCTGGCCCTGGAGGGCCGACGTGCCTGCAGGTCTCTCAGGCTCCACAGCTCAGGAGCTGGGAGAAGCTGTTCAATTGGTTCAGTTACATCAGGAACCAGCTGGTGCAGCTCATTAAGAGCTGAGCTGGAGTGAAAACCTGCAGACACATCGGCCCTCCAGGACCAGGACTGGACATCTCTTCTGTCATTCGACAGGCGCCTGGGAAAGCACAGGGCTCGTGGGAGAGCTCTGTCTGATCCCAGTGGCAATGATGCACCAGAGCTCGAAGGTGCCTGCTCACAGTCAGCTAGTGACCCAAACCAGTCACGCAGTGAGTGCCTTTTCTGGCTGCTTTTCAGCCTGATCACTTCTGCCTTTTTATATGGCTTACTGGTAACTTACACATTTGTAAAAATCAAGGGAGTTTATGTTAGAATTGTACAAATTGTACAAAACGTTATAGAAAAGATATTGCTGCTCTGGAATCACCTCAGCAGAGAAGAGCCACCGATACATTCTGAAGCTTAAGGGGATGTCCTAGACTGACAAGATGAAGGAGGTGAACCTCTTCAGTCTTGAGCAGAGAAGACTGTGAGGGGCCCGACAGGACAATAATTAAAATCCTTCAAAGGCCAACAAAGTCAAACCAGCAGATTTCTTCAGAATAGACAGTGAAATGCAAGTTGGAAGGCACAAGTGGAAGCTCTGAGGAAGTGCATTTATAAACCAGAAAACAGGTGACACCTCTTTAAACAGCCTTGTGAGAGTATGAAACAAGCTGCCCAGCCGATAGTCTGTCTTCTTTCTAGAAGAGCTGGAGGGGATCCTTGGTACTATTAGCTACTAAATATCAAACGTGCTCTACAGGCCAAACAGCCTCCTCCTGTTTGTAAGTGCTCTTATGTTGGCACACAAATGATAAGTTGTTTTACCTTTTTAGCCTCTGTGATCTCTTTTCCCAAGCTTATGGTGTAACATATCTGTAAAAGAAATAGTTAAGACATGTCAAGACCAAGTCCTTCTACAGTTCACTGTTGCCGGCCAAGCACTAAAAATTCTGTAGATAAAAGATCTGTCTCTCAAAGACAGAACCACCCCCGTCTTAAAGTGCTGTGAGCTAAAGGGGAACCACAGTCCCAATCTCCCAGACCGGCCCTTAAATCTCGGTAGCAAAGTACTGCAAGTCGCCACGTTGCTGGAAACTAACATTCGAGTTCCCACAAATCGCGACATGACGCGGCCCTTCCTGCTCACTAGTCACTGTAACGACGAATGTAACGTGATGTACGAGCAAATAAGCACAGGTTGTCCAAAGTGATCTGCATGCAGAATCAACCAGTAGTATTTATTGGCCAAACCCGTCTTGAAGGCAAGAGCAACATTTCTGTATTCACAGGCCTGCTTGTTTACAATGCTGCAGGGCCGCTTCATCTCACCTGACGTTTTGTTGCCTCGTTCTGAATCGCAGAACATGGCGCAGCACAGAACCAGAACATTCGTCTATTTTGTGATGTAAATTGGAGGTTTTACAAGTTACTGTGTACATTTTTCTGTTGTCGTGGTTTGAAATGCACTCGTCAGTGCTGATAACTCTCTAGCCCAGGAATGGGAAAACAGAACTGCAGTTCCCTTTTGATGCCCCCAGCCAGGGTGCGATGGGTACCTTCTCCCCCTCGGTGTTGCTCTCAAACACGAAGGCGCTGAGCGTCGGCTCGCTATCCTCGCCCGCCCCCGGGCCCTCCACCACGAAGCCCATCAGCCTCCCATTCTCCTGGTGGGCCGCAAACTGGGTCACGTCCTGCAGCTGGAACTGCGCCGGGCAGAGACCCCAAGGGAGGGAAAAACATGGTCACCGCAGATTCGTTTCTGCAACACTGCTCTCATCTCTAAAACTGCACAGAAGCTGATGTATACTGAAATAACAACTGCACTTATGCAGTGTAGCCAAACTGATATGTTGGAGGAAACGTCATTGTATGTTGCGCAGTTTTTGTGTTTAGAAGCATGAGAAAATGTGGTATCACAAACTTTACTACAGTAATTTCAGTCAATCTTACTATGCACATTCGCTTAGACCAGGGGTCTCCAACCCTGGTTCTGAAGCGCCACAAACCCGTCTTGTAGGGCACCTCAATTGATCTGTCTTTTAAAGATTAGGAACTCTTTTGAGGTACTGATCAATGAATCAAATAATTTCTTCCATTAAGAGAAATGGTCCTTGAGCTCTTCTGATTCAGAGAACAAAAATGACTCAATAAAACCAATCCTTTTCTCAGCCCATCTCTTTTCCCACTTATTTCTTACCATACTACCTCTGCATAGGATGTAGATGTTAAGGCACTTACACTTATTCTGGTAACTTGCGTCTGAGGGTCGATTAGCCTATTGGGAAAAAAAGAGAGAAACAACACATATCTTAATATCTCAAGTCACAACCTTGTCAAATCAGACTGCGGAGTCTTTGCTCATTTACAACACAATTGTCAGCGGCACAATTTAGTTTTGCTTGTACAGGAATCAGGCAAGGCAATTCAATACATCGTAAGTGGAATATTTCTCCCACTGCTTCCAAGCAGTCCGGTAGATTTGTTCGAAACCGAGCTGTTGAACAAGCTGCTTCGGGATGTATTTCAATAGCTCTCCTCCGACCAGGAGACAGGTAAACATGCAAGAAGGTACTGATGAGCAAAGGGCATCCCTACTGTTTTACTCAGCTTTATTAACTTCACTGTAAATGACTAAGACCAGCATATAACAAAATAAACAGCGACTGGGCCATTTCTAGTGAGGTCATTCGGCCAGCCTTCACGGGAGAGGACAATCACACCAATCTGGGAACAGACATGCTAACGTGGAGAGGATCCGAAGAGAGAAAAAAGGTGATAGGAAGACTGAACAGGAGCTGAAGAAGGAATATCATCAAACACTGTCCTCCTCTTCTCTTGCGCCACGAGAGGGTGGCCTCCTTCAACACCAGATTCTGCCCAGGTAATCTGAACTCTCGAGTGCCAGACTCTGAATTTAATTGAAGAACAGAGCTTGCGGTCATATTTGAAAATTCCTATCTCCTCTATTGTGGAATCTGCATTCTGTTTAGGATCCATTTGATTTATTAGGATGCGGATTCACTCTCTATGGGTTTGCAATGTGTTCTGTGTATTTGGATTATATGGGTGAATTACTGGACTCTCTGTGTCTAGGTAGGTAGGCCTCTGATGTAAACTGATTTGCAAAATATCTGTGTAAAGCGTAACTTGTGTAAGTCATGTATTTATACAGTTGTGTTATTTATTTCTAATATATTTGTCTTAGTTAAGTTTGGACCTAGTTGCTACTGTTTTGTCAAGCTGTGCCAGAGAATACTAGAACATGTGCAGTGTTACGTTCTGCAACCTCTGCCTTGAGGGTGTGAAATTATTCATCTTCATTACTCGCTTGCGATGCTGCGATCCGATTTAATAACCCCTTCATTTTATACTTCTGCGACGCCTCAGTATTGTAACAGTAATGCTGATCCAAATGACAGGCACAACTACAGTAAGTGCGTCAGTGAGGAAGAAGGTCTGTACTCAAGGAAACAGGAGACATTATTGAGAAGCCACTGGCACAACTCTTTTACCAGTCGGTCAGGACAGGGGTAGCACCCAGGGACTGGAGGATCGCACCCTTAACAGGGCTCACAGAGCTGAAGCCGACACCCTGGTGTCCTTCTACAAACAGCTGGATGAGACCCTTGCTTAACCACTTGCTTAATCACTTAACCACAAACGACTACAACGGAATAGATGGGCCAAACGATCTCCTCTAGTCTCTCTCACTGTTCCTATGTTCTTAAGATGGATGAGTGTGTCTGTGAACGTCAGTGATTTGTTTCACATGAAGCCATTCATTCAGCAGAGGCTTTCATCATCTAAGCGACCTGTGAGCCAAAAAAAGGCCAACAGCTGCCGCCCAGTCACGTGTTATCCGAGGGGCAGCGGAGTCTCCGTCCCCACCCTGGAGCTCCCTGACCAGTCCCGGCGGGCTTACCGCAGGCTGCTGCTGGTGACCATGAGGTGGGACTCGGAGGTGCGGAAGATGTTGTGAATGGCCCGGGCCGCCAGCACCTGCCGCATGGCCTCGTAGATGACCTCCCGCGAGCGGCCAGTCCGCACGGCCATGGAGCCCAGGAACCGCACGGCAAACACCTGCTGCAGGAGCGAGTCTGCCACGAGAGACACGCCGCGTCACTGGGCCGCCAGCGCCCTCGCGCGCTATCGGGGGCGCTCCCCGCGGAGCTGCCCTCCGATTCTGCTTTCTGTCCGAGAGCTGTACCCGCAAGGCATCTGAGCGGGGCCGTTGCTGGGTCTGGGCGAGCCCAGCTTTCAGACAGAGGAAGCGTGTTTGAATGTACACCGGAAAAGTCATGGTTCTGACTGCTAAGGTTTTCTGGAAGGGAATATTGAAGAGGCCATCTTCCAGTGCAGACTTGGAGGCTGGAAAAATCCATGTCTGGGTTTCAACACATATTGATGAGCCTTAAAAACGTTTAAGCGCAAACAAAAGCTTTAGGTGGTTTAAGACAGACTAACTCTGAAGACCGCACTTCAAAAGCAGAAAATATTTATACGGCATTCCTAATACAGAACACGAATAACCACGGGTTCTCAAGCAAAGATTACACTTGGTAACACTGCGCTGGATCAACAGATTTTACACCAGTCCACAATATTCTTATACTGTATTATAAGTAATATGAAATTTGGTAAATGTCTAGACTGTGTTCTTTAAAAACTACCCCACCACAACCCCTATTAGAATTCAGATGCATGTTCTGATACATCCCGGGTTTTCCAATGGCTTGCAGACAGCATTTCATGAACATTAAATTAAATAAAGGTATTTCATATTACTGTACAAGTGCGCAAATTGCTATACAGCCTCAAGTCGCAGCTTCTGCTGCCTGCATCTCATAAAATCTGACGTGGATCAAACTGCTGCTGTAGGAGACTGGGCCTGACCCGTTCCTCTTAAAGCACGACCTGACACCCCAGTTCAGCAGCTGACCAGCTGTGCTCTGCACAAACAGGGCAGACCGGTCTCTAACCCCAACACCCCCAGTGGATGGAGGCTCAGCCCTGCTAACTGGCCACTGAGCGCACTCACCATGAGAGTCACTGGAGCTGTCCTCTTCCGTCTCTCCAAAGGGGTTTGTGCGTCTGTGGAGTACAGGGCAGTAAACTGTCAGCAAAGTGCAGGTTCAAAACCGCCAATGCAAAATAGCAGCACAATACAAGCTAGAATTCGGCAGGAAGAGATTAATAGTTTGTCTTGAAACCTTTTTTTTTTTTGCCCAAGGCTTGTTCTATATCGTGTGACATTACTCGGGGAAGCAGGATCTATTTGGATGGTCCTTCCTAAAGTACTGTACAGTCCTCTTAAAGGGGACCTGCAGTGCGACGTTCACATTTTGGGGTTAGAAAGAATCAACATGACGAGTGCATTTCTAACTGATATAACAGTACAATGTGCACAGTAACATGACCTCCAATTTACATCACAAAAGAGACAACATTTCCAGGTCTGCGCAGCGCCATGTCCTGCAATTCAGAACAAGGCAACAAAACAAAAGGTTAAGTGGCCTTATTAAATTGTAAACGAGCAGACTTGTAGATGTATGTCTTTTAATCCAACAGAAATGTGGCTTTCGATTTCGAAACAGTTTTGCCCACAAATACTGCTTGCTCGTTACGTTCAGATCAGGCTGAAACATTTCTGCGGTGAAATGTCTACTGCACAACCTGTATTTATTTGCTCGTGCATCACATGACTGATGTTATTACAGTGACTAGTGAGCAGGAAGGGCCACTTCACGTCGCAATTCGTGGGAACTC